TCTGCCTCAGCCCACTCCTATCCAGGTGTTCTCCAGTGGGATCCCACAGGAAACACTGACCAGAGGGGAGCTGCACTCCGGGACTTCACTGTAACTATCACTGACCAGAATACCACATTCTCCTCCTTCTCTAGGACAGCCCAGTGTGATAATATTTTAGATCAAAATGCCTTAGTCCTTTCCTATCCAACACTGTCTGCCAACCTTCTTCAGGCCACACCACCACAGGCACCAAATCAAGGATACAGCCCGGCACCTTCCTACCTGGAGGGCAGCCAGGTCTATTACTATGACCTCAATAGCCTGGGCCCTCAGATGGCTGGAGAACTCAGGCAGTGCCTGCAGGCCTGTGGCTCTGTGTCCTACTCTGAGTGTCAGGCTTCTGCCTTGCAACCAGAGATAGTGAGGATGCCAAAGGAGATTCAGTCAACAGATATCCAAACACCCTTCTCCACCTCTGCCATGTACTATGCCACACCTGCTCAAGACATGCCAGACACCAGTCTTCAAGGTGAGTAGAGCCAGGAGGGAGAACTGAGATCAGCACTCAAAGCAGACACAGCTCAAACTTTCAGGAGTGGATGTCCTCAGGGAGAAAAATGGGAGTCCTGAGAGCTCACCCTTGATCTGTCTCACCATCCCCATCTTCAGTCTCTGTAATGACTGACAATGCAGGGCAATGAGTGGCAGTCATCCTCCATTAAGACATGTCCAAGGACATCACCACAGACACACACGTCCCTGACCTAGCTAATCAGTCCTATGCACCATTACACAGCAATCGCCTCCTTCCTAATCTATTCCTCAGGGCTGTAGTGGACACCAAGGCCTTTCTGTTTGGTAACACTTTATTTTCTCTGGGTTGAGTTCTGACTCTAGAGCAATGCAACTCCAAATCTGTCCTGGAGGAGGGATTACTCACAGATTCCCAGAACGGCTGACCCTGCCATTCTCTGCATTGCTGCATTCTCAAGTGCATTGAGAGTCCAGTATACCTGGTGACCTGGTGTATCAGTGTACAACTACTAAGTTGTGCATAGTTTCTCTCTCTCGCTCTCTCTCTCTCTCTTTCTCCTTTTCTTTTGCTATGGTTATTCAGAGGTGAGGCAAGGCTATGCATGATCATTAGAATATGTTCTCTATTACACAGTCACGCCCAAGCCTAAAGACTTCACATTCTATAACCAATTTTCACATCTTTAATAAAAAGACTGAGAAATGTGGAGGTAAAGGAAATTTAGGGTTGTTGAAAAGATTGCCTTGCAGGAGTGAGGAACTGGGTTTGGATACATGAACCCATTTAGAAACTCAGGCAACAGGAGGAATTTGAGTAATGCCAAGAGTTGGAAGACACGAGCAAGTTCTTGAAAATTGTGGACCAGACAACCTGCCTGATAGCAAACTTCCACAGAAATGAGGGTCACTCTTTCAAAGACATGGGAAAGGAAAGAGAGGACCACACCCCCAGGCAATTCTGTCACCTCCCCATGATCACTATGCATGCACATGACACACAAACACCGAGGAAAACACAAATATCTGAGAAATCATGATATCACATGGTTACTAGAAATAAGAGAGTGGTCACAAGTCTCCCAACAGAGGTGCCGCCTGTGCTACTCAAGCAGAGCTCACAGGAATGCCTTCCCCACTGCTGTAGGGGTCTGAGTACTGAGGAGCACTGAAAAGTGGGGAGCACCTCACTTACCAGGCACTGACTTCTTCCTTGACTCTTTTTCAGTGGTGAAAATGGAGACAACCCTGGGATTGACAGCTGCAGGCCAGACACTCTGTCTGCTGCAGAGTCCAGACCTCTGCAATGCCTGCACAAAGGATGTCCAGAAGTCACCACCTGTCCATGGGGACTGGTCATTAACTGCCCCCATAGACAGTCCTTCAGAATTCCTGCCCTTGCCTCCTGCTCCAATCTTGGAACAAACAGAGAATAACGACTTGGATTTGATGACAGATGATCTATCAACTCCTCTGGATGCCTATGAGGGCATAAAAGAAAACCAAGACCCATCACTTCTCCCTTTAGCACATGCCAACATGCAGCAGGCCCTGAACTACACTGATTCAGGGAGCCTAAAACAGAAGCTTTCTCCTGACAATGCCACCTTGGGAAGCAGCAGCCTTGGTCAGGATGAGCCTGGGGTGCTGCAGAGTGTGATAGACTCCAGCATGGACTTTGCAGACATGACTACACTGGTGGCAGATATTCAACTTCCCAGACTCTCCAACTCAATCACTGATATGAACCCATTCCAAGATCCCACAGCAAGCCAATGCAAAGAAATCAGCAGTGATCAGGTCCAGGAAAGCTCCAGCACCATCAGTGAACTCATGGACCAAGTGAGAAAGAATGGCCAGAAAGCCTCTGAGGTGCTAGATGGGTCTCCTCAGGCCAGAATCCAGCTCCAGGACCTGGAGGAAGAAGAGGCTGTGGGCAGTGCTGGGTCCAGTGAAGGGGCTATTGACAACATGCCTAAGAACTTGGAGGACAAAGCCCAGAAAGCCACACCCAGCATGCCCAGCAGAGCAAGGGCTCAGAGCAAGACCAAGAGATCCAGAGAAAACAACTGCAAGAAAACAGAGGAGCTCAAGCAGTCAAGGAACAGAGTCAAGGCAGACGAAAACACCACCATGCCAAAGAACCAGAGGAAGAGGAATCCACCTGAGCTCAGCCACAACAGCTTTAAAAAGCCTCGAACTCACCTTGGCATGCACATGCTAGAATCCATGCAATTCTTTCACCCACTGGGGAAGAAGAATAAGAAGAATACTGGCATCTTTTCCACCCGGGCTCGGCTCAACTTCAGCAGCAACAAAGATCCCAGTACAGGCCCAGCCACCAAATCACTTCTGGATGTGCCATGTGATGGCCAAGACCATGGTAAAACCCCGAGCAATGCTCAGAGACCAGAGAGCAATGCTCACAGGGAGTGTCGTCCATCTCCATCCCAGTATGAGCTGCCCCCACCTGGCAAGGTCAAGTTAGTACCTCTGCCTTTTCCAGCCCTGGACAAGCCTCAAGCCAGACTGGTTTCTAAGAAGCTTCTCTCGCTGGCTTCACATGGGGCCCTTGCAGTGTACCCTGTGAGACCTCATTCTGACTCAGCTCAGTCTACCACACCCAAGCCATCT